ATTGACAAAGGTTGATAGTCACAACAATACCGCTTATTCGTATCCGTCCGATCGCGCTCTATCAAACCACAATTACAAACGTGCGATATATATATAATAATAATAATAATAATAAAATTTTATTTTACTATCCTATTTCTAGATTACTTTCCAGAGAGGGGATGCCCACTTATTCCCAATATAGTAAACGATAGATGCGTGCAAAAAATAAAAAAAGCAAAGGGTTCTCACGCTTTTTTTAAGAATCATTTATTCAAAAAAAAAAACATCGTTCACCTAGCAGGACCTCCTTTGATCTTCGGCATCACCTTTTCGGCAAAGAATCCATCTACACGCACTACTGGTGACTACGAAGGGCTTGAATAACTGCCTCTATAACACCAATACGAACTTCAACTATCGATTTAGACTTTTCATCCTTCGACGAAGAAAGAAGTGTGTTTTGCTCCGCGAGTGCCTTTTCCGCCGCGCCAAGATCGAGCTCCGAAAAAGGGATGCATTCGGTGCAGTTAATATCGCACGATCCTTCGTTATTTACGTGTGCAAAGCCACCGCTCGCGAAAAACTTTTGGATCGTTCCATTGCTTAATTCCACATGAATAGGAGCTGGAATTAACCGAATGATTTTATAGGCGTGGCCAGGATAAATACCACATTCGCCGTTGCTGCCAGCAATGGTAACACACTTCACAGGCTTTTCACTAAAAATAAACTCATCTTGCCGGGTTAGGGTCAACTTGAGAGTCTCCAGATTCTCGTAGTTAGCGTGAATATCCTTGTCGGCGACCTTGTGTTCGAAATATTGAAAGCCGTCAGGGAGACCATAGGAGGTAAGAAGTCCAAGGGTCCTTGCCATCAAGCACTTCCCTGAAAACCGAAACATCGCCGCTATGAATAACTAAACACTAATAAATTAATTTAAAAGGAAAAAAAAATGAATTTCTAATAAACCAGTATGAGGCGAGTAGACTATCTAAAAATCGATCATTGTAAAAAAAAATAAACATGAAGTGTAGAGAACAATTCGAAAAAGAGATTGGTTGCAGGCCTAGCTTTCACTTGTTCAGTACGATGTCAAGTGATCAAATCGGAAGATGCTCCAATGCAGATTCCATGTAATATTTCGCGCTTTTTTTTTTTTAATCCCTTAAATCAAAGGAAGAATAAAATATAGCAAAAGGAATGCAAAAAAATAATCGAATTCTCGACATTTTACAGACGGCGACCCCGACGGGAGCCCTTTCGGCGGGTGGAGTCTGTCGGGATGGACGTGACGTCCTCGATGCGGCCGATTTTCATCCCCGCGCGGGCCAAGGCGCGAAGGGCGGCCTGGGCGCCCGGGCCCGGGCTCTTCGTCTTGACGCCGCCGGTCGCGCGCATTTTGACGTGGAGGGCGTTGATGCCGCACTCCTTGCACCGTGCGACGACGTCCTGGGCGGCCAACATCGCGGCGTAGGGGGAGGACTCATCGCGGTCGGCCTTCACCTTCATCCCGCCGGTCACCTTCACGAAGGTCTCGCGGCCGGAGGTGTCCGTCACGTGCACGAAAGTGTCATTGAAGGAGGCGTAAATATGCACCACGCCGTACACCAACGTCTCCTTGCTGACGTTGGGGCCGTAGCGCTTGGCTTCCTGGTTCTTCGACATTTTTTGCTTTTCGTGTTAACCCAAAATGTATAAAAATATATATAAATACATATACATATAAATATATATATATGTATGAGGCAATCAATACAGGGTTGAGGTAAAATATAAAAAGAGTGTCGATGTTACAAAATAGACCCATCTGAGCACACGGCATCAGGAAATCAGAGGTGTGGAATGTTAAAACATAGGTAGATAAATATATCAATAAAAAATAAGCAATGAATCAGAAATAGAAGACAAAATAATCGCTCTAAATCATTCATTTCAATAAAATGCACTTGCCAATTATTTAAAAATTATATAATTTGTAGAGGGGCTATTACTCTATCTACTCACAACACGCATTCACATACAAGCCTTTTTTCTCCCTACTCATGATTTCGTCTTCATGAAAATACACCAGGATAATATCTATTGAGAAGAAATGAGAATACAAGGAAACGCAATCATCCCGAACCCCGAACGTGCAGATAAAGACCATGGTTAGACTTTTAATACTTTCTCGGACGATGACTCTCCCCCAGTACCATTCTCGGTTATCTTTTCGTCTATTGAGTTTTCATCTTCGGGTAAGTACCCGGAGTCGTTCGCGTCCGATTCCTCCCCTGCAAACCCATCGCTCGTGATGTCGGTCGAAAGGCACTCGGTCTCCTCGGACAACATTCGAATCACCTCATTCGCGGCGTCCTGCGCGGCGGGGCTGTCAAGAATCTTCCCCGACAACACGGCCTGAATGTCGGCAATGGTCAAGCCCCGCCCTTCGAGGAAGGTCCGGTTAAGAATCGGGTGCTCCTCCCAATAGCGAAACGCCTCGGCCCGCTCCGAGTCGTTGGGCTTGCGCCGCTCAACAAAACACCCGTCGATTTCATCTGTGAAGGAGGACGACTCGGACGTCGCCTCGCTCGCCTCGGCGGAGGTGCTGCTTTGGGGGTCCCCCTCACTACACGACTTCGCCACCTCCACCGAGTTGAAGCAAAAGGGCTCGTAGTCGTCCTCTTGGATTTCGAAAAAGCCCTCGTGGTCGCGCAGCATCTGGCTGGCGGTGGCCCGACTCTCGGGAGTGTAAATCAACATGGGAAGAAGAAAGTTTGCAATCTCTTTTGCTTTTTTTCGCGTGAAGCGGTGGCGCTTGTGGAGAACACCCTCCAGGTCCCAATAGCGGAGTTCCTTTATATTCCGCAGCTCCCCCCTCGAGGTGTAGTAGTTCCCACGATACTCCCCATTGCCAAGCCGCATGCCCTCGGGTAAGTCCCCGAGGAGCTCGCTCATCAGCGCGAGATGGTCCTCATCACGCGAGTAGGCGTCGCCCTTTTTGGGATCAAAGAGAAATTCGCCGGTGATGAGCTCGAAAATCATGCAGGCGCAGGACCAAATATCTATCGGGGATGAATACGGCTCACCCAGAATCACCTCGGGGCAGCGGTACTGACGAGTCTGGACCTCGTCGGTGAACTGCTTGTAGGTCCAACAACTGTTCCCAAAGTCGGCTAGTATGACATGATGGAAGCGCTCGACCTCCCATTCGGAGTCCGTCTTGCTAACCTCCGAGTTCGCCTCGCTCGGATCGGACGAATCGGACTTCGCCGTCTCGTTTTCTGATTTGCCATTTTGTTTGATTTCCTTTTCTTTGGCTATTTTTTTATAGTAGCGGCGTCGTTGGGATTTGGTCATCGTTTTGGGGTCGCGCTCGGTCAGGCGTGGGCGTTGATGCATCGGCAGTGGATGGTAGTGCCGCATCAAGGATATTATCGAGTGCTTGGGGGTTGAAAGCAAAACATTTTCGGGCTTCAAATCCGTGTGAATAATATTAATACTGCTAATATGTTCTAGTGCAATCAGTATTTGCCGTGTGATGCACTTCACTATGGGCAGAGGGATCCCACGGTATTCGTAGCGCTCCATCAAACACAATAAGTTCTCACCGTAAACGTCAAACACCATACAAACATGCGTCCCGTTGGGGCCGGCATGTTCAAAATAATCGTTGAGCCTCGCACAATGGCGGGTCTTGTAGGGATCCGCCTGCATAATTTCGGACAGAAGTCGGATCTCGTCGTACGCCGCCTCGCTGTAATGCTTGGCCGACTTTTGGACCTTCATGGCCTGGTAGCGCTCATCTTGGTAATCCCAGACGAGCCAAACGGTCGAAAAGTAGCCCCAGCCGAGTTTTTTTGCTATGCGGTATCGATTGTGGTAGATATCCCCCACCACGACCGGATGATACCCCCCGCGGCGGTACTCCGCCGCGCGCTCGTTGGCGGTATCGCTGTAGTCCTCCTCCGTGTGCTCGCCGTTGGCGGGCTCCCCTCCATCCCGCGCGTAGAGGACGTCGGGGCCCTTCGGGGGCTGCTGCTGCCGCTTCCGCCGGTCGGCGATCGTGCAGGCCTGGCGTAGGGTCATCCCGGACTTCACCTCAATCCCCTCCTTCTCCACCATCTCCCGCCGCCGCCTCTCGGCGGGCTTCTCCTTCTTCACCGTCGCGATCGGGGGCTCGGCCGGCTCCTCGCGTTCGATCGCCCGGACCACCGCCTCCAACTCGGCCCGAAGGTTGTGGCTGATGCTGCTGGCGGGGTTGGCGGTTTTGCCCTTTCGCTTGCGAGGGTCATTTTTGCTATTTTTTTTCGAGACGCCTTTGGAGGGTTTGGAATGCTTCTTCGCCCCTTTGGCCATGGCGCATGAACAATGACAAGATCGAACACGCTAAGGCAGACGCGGGGTGGGTCGTGGCACAATCGGCGGGTATCTAGTCAAAAATACAGAAAAAAAATCTCTTGGGGTTATAGTTTTTTTTTCAAAAAAGTGAACCCAACAGTATGAAATAGAGAAAGGGAGGGAGAGAATGATGGCATTTCATGGTTGAGATACAACTTACAGGGATCCCATCATAGAATAAGTAGGTTTATTTTTTTTTCTGAGGAAAACTATAGATTATGGGTGACAATCGCATCAACCACTTTTATCGCTCCATTGCTTCACATTACTATAGCTCCAGAAGGGTTTCCGTCTTTAAGAAAGATAAAGAAGTTATTTCAGCCATAACCAAGTCAAAATCGGGTGTGGTCCTGGGGAATTGTGGGTGAAAATGTGGTGTGAAGCGCTGCGCCAATATCGCCATGGACGGCTCCCCAACAAGATTCGTAAAATGGTAGGCGAAAAAGGTGCAGGGATCTATCACTTCATGGTTACGCCAAAATAGTGATCTCGTATATGTTGGGATATGGTCCCTCACAAGTTTTAAACTAGCGTCCCTTTTACTCAAAAATATTGAAGTATACGCAGTTCCATCTGTAAATGCATCCATGAGGAAACATAAGAATGCTTTATTCATGTTTGGTCCAAGGGACGACAACTCACTAACTTTGGCTAAAAGTGATACCTACTAAGTAAACTTTCCAATTATCAATATACATTAGCCAAGTTTCACCGCCTGGCCGAAAAAAGAATTAACCTTTACTTCCTTTTTTGATCATTTCTTCTGGTTTGAATGTCTAATAAAATAGAGAAAAGTTTACAAAGTCTTATTATTCAAAAGGAGAGTTAAACTGATCGATATGAGCCATTGGGATAGCAAAAATAATCGGCACATCGCCTCATCATTCTTACTCTAATAGGTATAGGTTCCTCTGTGGGACCAAACTTTGGTATTAGCCCCTCAGTGGCACCATATAATTTAATGTAGCGATGATTATACCGCTTTAATCTTAAAGTGGATAGATACCAGTGAGAGCACAAGCGCCTTCAGATCTCGTATGAAACAGTAAAACTCAAAAAGACCTTTAGGCTCATCAGGGCCTTCATTCGGCATGGTGGTCATCTTATTAGTCACTAGTGAAATATGCGTGCTCCCAAAATGTATTTCAAGCTCTTGTCGACCGTTTCGGTCCGGCTGCGGCCACTCTTCGTCGTCGCTTTTGTAAATCTCTGATTTCACAATAGTTGATTTTACCTCCTCTAGTACTGCTTGGGATACACGAGCTTGTTTTTTAATAATATTTTCATTTCGATATTGACTATTATTGGCATACTTTAGTGTCCCATCATCCTTCAGCTCAAACTCAAGGAACTCGTTACCATACCTACCAGTGTGGCCTGCGTAGTAGCGTAAATAGTAAAGGTGGGAGTCCATCGTTTCCGTAGGAATGACCAATTCCTCGTCCACGACCTGCTGATCTTCTGACATGTTTAATCCTTACTAAACAGCTTTATGTCAAAGAATACAATCTAAGGAAATGTATAGGTTTTCTTTGGTTGAGTTATATAACTTACCAAGATCTATAATAAAAATCAAAATCGATAAATATTGAAGATAAAAGTATAACGGATGGTAACACGGTTGAAGCCACCATATCAGGGGTCACATTAAACAAAAGAAAGGCTCAGTAAGCCAAAATAAAAAAGAGAAATGTAAAAGTCGCTACTCGACTCTTCGAGATAGCGCTTCAAGCATTTCTTTTCCCCAGCTTGACCCATGCCTCTTTACCTCTCGCCGGAAAAAATCTCTCACAGACGTCGCCTCCTGTATCAGTTTCAGAGCCCTCAGGCTATAATATACCTGGGGCCACATTACCCTCGCAAAGTCCGTGGGTTTACCATCCACTGAATTTATCATGCGAGCCCTCAACTCGACCCAGTTCGCCCCATCCGTGACCAACGCAATGCCAGGCGATCCATCCCCTCGGGTCAGTTCTTTCAATCGCAGGCCAAACATCTCACAAAAACACCGGAAGGCGCGCTGGATGTTGGCCAACGCGTCGGCATCACGGCAATCCCGCCCCAACAGGAGGTCCTCCTTGGAGGACCCCACCGCTAAGGGGAAAAGATATTCGAATATAAGCGGTAGAGAAGCATAATTCGCTGTTGAGGGAGAGGTGGCCACGTCATCGTAGCTAAGTGGGGTGTTCGCGTACGCAAACGCCCCCTGAAGTATCGGCCACCAATTATTGCACTCCACATCCAACAACGTTGAAATCAAAAATTTTTCACCGGAGGCGGCCCTAGACGTGGGTGGAATTTGCGCGACCGCCTCCGAAGGAAGTGGCTTTAGACCCTTCAAAAAGGAGAAATAGTCGTGTTGAGTGGATCGTTCCCGCTCAATGGTATTATTTTTGATCAAGAGCCGCTTTATCTGTCGCCGTCGTTGTCGACCGCGGCGCTCCTTCATCGCTTTCACTTGTCCCAGTTTGGAGTCCTCGTGAAGAAGACTTTCCTCTAAACGCAGATTCAGAAGTTCACGGGCTGCACGTCGATTACACCACAAGGAGGTGAAATGGCCAAAACGAATAATAATGCCGGATGGGCCATGCCTTAAAATGATTGTTTGCTTACGACGATTCGTCGCCTGACCTCCAGGGCCTTTCCCAAGGGTCGTGGTTTCATTTAAATCGTCTTCCTTAAAAAAGTAATACTGTTCAAAGCATGCACTACGGTACTTCGGGAGGCTGCTTGGGGCACTAGCACCACCCCGCTTCAGCCTCTTCGGGCGAGGTGCATGTTTTTTCCCAAGTTTTTTCACTCTTTGTAGGGTTCCAGAAGTATGGGCGGAATCTTTATCGTTTTCCTTCAGTTCCCCAATCAGCTCCCTGATTTTTTCTGAGGAATCTACCGTCTTAGCATTGTCGCTTTGTTTTTCACTTTTAAACCTCTTTGTATTCTTAATGTAGGTATAGAATACTCTGTTCACTGGGACTAAACCGCTCAATGAGAAATAACCGCAACGCCGTTGTAGGAACAACATGTATGCAATGATTTCTAAAGAGAATATTTTCGCGAGCTATATTTTGTTTTTAAAACTCCAAGAAAATAAAATACCTGAAATATGTTTACGAATCAAGCATTCAGTAACTCCTTTTTCAGAATCAAGTTACATCTAATCCCTCCTACTCTCCATTCAAGACGGAAAATATTCAAATTCAGTATATTCTTTTGTTTCAATTGGGGTTCTCAATGATGGCTTTTCTAAGAATTATTCTTGAAAAATAATCCATTCAAACGTGATAAAAAAAAAAGTGCTAAACTATGAGCACTCTTCATTTTCCCATAATCACTGCAATCCGTATGGCATATTTTGCCGAGGCCCTTCTTCAGAATGACGTGGCTTCTCTAACTCTAAGTCAGGCAAGGCAAAGTCTTGCATCTCATACTGTCGATCAAAAGGGCCAGTGCGCTGTAATACTTTTCGCTTGCTCCATTTATCCACAAAAATCGAACTCTGGGGGTATGGACCTTTCCATGGATCCAACCGATCCTTGGGTACAAAATCATGATACACCTCGCCAAATAGCTCATTCGTACCACCACGATAATTATACACATGTTGAAAATACTGTTTCTTCCATTCCCATCCGGCCTGCTCGGAAAAAAGGCCGTCATGGGAAACCAAAATGACATCTTCTTCCCGCTCAGGCTTCTTAAAGCCATACATGTCCTTGAACTCATCACCAGTTAGCTGTAGCGCATACTCCACCTCGTCCCGTGGTAGCCAATAGCTATGGGGAATCCAACGGTGCATTTTATCGGGTGATGTCCTACAATCAATAATATACGTTCCCGGCTCCGGGTACTGAATCAACTGCTTCATATCCTTAATATAGGCCTGATGGCAAAGAAGATGATGGAATGCGGCGTACTGGCTCTGCTCATACAAGAACTTATGCCGGTCGAAATACCAAGGCTGATATTCCTTCATGTGCCAATTAAACCATTCCCTTGGGTTAATTTCACCATCAATCATCAAATGGTGACGTGTGCGTCGATCAGATTGGAAAAGGGAGAACGATCGCCGCATCAAAGAATAGTCGCATTCAGAGATGTGATATGCCCTTTCCCTAGAAAAAGGCACAAAATAGTAAAAAATGAATAGGAAGAGAAAAGCTTAGGTTCCATAAAGTATTACTTTACCACCATAGAAGTCTGAATTTTTAAATAGATAGATAAATAATTAAAGTAATTAAAATTTTACTAATGTGCAGTCTAGGTTCTTACGAAAATAGACTTCACTTGAATATAATTCTCACATGAGAATTGAAAAAATAAAACAAAGTACTATAAAATATATAATAATAAATATATACATTTTTATATCTATATATATATATATACATTGATATATTAATATATCTATATATATATATATAGGTCGTAAATAATGTATTTAAAACATAAAAAAAATAAGATTCACTCAATTATAATCTTCGGAATCTCCCACGTGAAGCATCCATTCCCAGTAGTGTCCATACGACCAAAATGACCAAAACGAGACGTCTCGTGGTATATTGGGCGTCGCAAATCAAGCGCTTTGATGATATCATAAGGGCGAAGCTTGAAGTTTTTCTCCACGATCTCGAGTATCCTCTTATCGTCATACTTACCGGTACCGTACGTTTCCACGAAAATACTCATCGGCTCTGCCATACCAATCGCATATGCAAGTTGTACCAAGCAGCGCCGCGCTAGACCGCCGGAGACCACCGACTTCGCGATCCAACGCGCAGCGTAGGCGGCGGAACGGTCCACTTTAGAGGGGTCCTTCCCGGAGAATGCCCCGCCGCCGTGGGCTCCCCAGCCACCGTATGTATCGACAATGATCTTTCGTCCTGTAAGCCCGGCGTCACCGTGCGGGCCCCCGATCACGAACCTTCCCGAGGGATTCAACCAATATTTGGTCTGGTCATTCAGAAGCCTCTCGGGAATCACGTCCTTGATGATCTTCTCCATCAAGTCGTGGTGGATCTTTTCGGTGCTGACGAATTCGTCGTGCTGGGCGGAAATCAGCACCACGGAGACGCTCTGCGGGGTGAAAAGCTGTCGGTTATTGCGCGAGTCGTACTCGTATTGCACCGTCACCTGGGTTTTGGCATCCGGCCGGGCCCACTCCAGCGTGCCGTTGCGCCGGAGCTCGCTGTACCTCTGCGCCAGGCCCCGCGCCAGCTCGTAGCTCAGCGGCATCAACGTCTCGGTCTCGTCCGTGGCGTAGCCGAACATCATCCCTTGATCACCGGCGCCCAGATCCGCCCCGTTAAAATCCCCCAGCCCCTGCGCGATATCCGGGGATTGTTGCTCGATCGCCACCAAGACGTTGCAGGACTTGTAGTCCAGGCCTTTGTCCGCGTTGTCGAAGCCGATCTCACGAACGGTCGCGCGCACGATCTGCTGAAAGTCCAGCACCGCGTTGGTGGTGATCTCGCCAAAAACCAGCACCATCCCGGTCTTGGCGCAGGTCTCGCAGGCGACCTTGGAAAAGGGGTCCTGGGCCAAACACGCGTCGAGGACGGCGTCGGAGATTTGGTCGCACAGCTTGTCTGGATGACCTTCGGAAACATGCTCGGAGGAAAACGTCACGTTGTGAACGGACATTGGTGGTGGTGGTGGTGGTTTATTTTTTTTTTATCTTATGACAAAAAAAAAAAGCGCGTAGCAATTTATAGCCTGAAAAATTTTATTATATTATTTAGTGAAACAAGCTTTGAATCGTGTGTGGGTTTTTTGTTGGGATGGTTGAGATCGTGGATGGAAAATAAAGGTAATTGTGTTAAGATGAAGCGTGGATTGAATGAATAAATAAAAACAAGTTGGAAGCAATTAAACATGATAACTGACCTCTTTCCCCTCAAGTTTGAACAGGATCCAGATGTTGAAAACTAAAAAAAAATTAGAGTTTTTGAATTAATCAATGCAGTCGAATGTATTTTTTTTTCCTTTTACCTCATAATTGAAAGAAAACATTTCACAAATGTTGTCCAGAAGCGAGTAAATTAGTCTTCAATAAAATATGTATCTCTAATTTCAGCTTCACACCATTGCACTCTCAACGGTTTACCCAGGGGAGTTTCTATAATGTAGTCAACGTGATCTATTTTGTTGCGGTGGATATCCAGCCATTCCTTCAACCTATAATTTACACGTATCTCGTGAAGCCTTGACGGCGCACCACATAAAGGGCAGTTCCAAAGATTACTTTGTGTGAAGCGCAGCAGGATGGTATAGAGCTCCATGCATTGCATGTGCGCACACGTGAGCGTGCGGGCTGGTATTTCCATAGGGAGGGCTGTCAGGGGGCACGTTACCTTCACGCTTACCTTGGTGACCCGCACCGCATCACGGGCATCCGGCCCATTACGAAGAAGCGCAGTGCCCACACCTCCATTAGCATCCCCCGTATAATTTCGCACTACGCGCTCACATATTGTAGCCAATGGGATCTCCTCTACAAATATGCAAGCGACGATGCCGGACCACAGAAACGTGTCGTCTGGAATCGATGTGAAGTCGATCTCAAGAACAAAAAGGTCCTCCTCCTGAGAGATCACTAAATGTGTAATGTCGGCTACTGGAGAAGTCCTGATAGCGTTTGCCTCCTTTCCAGGCGCAAGGTTCCAATTCGAGGGGGTTGGTGTGAGCACACCGTTGACCCTAAGACGCATCGCGAGGGTCTCCCCTTCTATTGCCACAGGAACCATCCAACCGCTACTGTGAAGGTAGTTATCCCCGGTCAGAGGCACTAGTAAGACGCGATAATTGGAAGTAAAGCCACTTGGGGGTGGCTCGCGAAATGCCCTTGGGGAAGGCAGACTACACACTACCGGGTGGTTGTCGACTTCAACACCACCTAACAGTTCAATAAAGCGGTACACCGGCGAAAGCACGAATCGTCTGGGGTTCTCAAACACCTCGCGTTGTAATAAATCCAATACCTCCAAGCTGAGGGGGGCCACAACGGAGGCCTCGGTTCTTTGACGTGATGGCCGTTGTTCCGTCCCGGATTCGCCGCCCGCCATCGCCGCCTCCGCACGCGCCGTTTCGTCGGCGGAAAAGCGCCGTATCTGGGCCGGTGGCGGCTTCGCATCCGCGTCGTTGTGCGGGCATTTCGAGACCACCGCGGGGGGGGCTCTCGGCCGCGATGGCCGCCGCCTGACTTTCCCCGTGGGCATCGCAAACCCACCGCGGGAAAGAGCCGCCCGGAGCCGACTACCGGTTTCGCCGTCAACGGCGGCCATTAGCCGCTGAACGTTTTGCCATT